TCACTGAGAACATTTTGTGTGTGTGTGTGTGTGTGTGTGTGTGTGTGTGTGTGTATAATATGAGACTACTTATATATGACATATTACCCAGCCTTGAAAAAATGAAATCCTATCATTTTTGGCAACATGGATGGAACTCTAGGATATTATGCTACGTGAAATAAATCAGACACATAAAGACACGTTTTTCACATAGAAACAAAAAAACTGACTTCATAGAGGTAGAGAATAGAACCTACAGTTAAGATGGTAGAGTGCTTGCCTAACATGCATAAGGCCTTGTCTGACTTCTGTATGCATTGTACGACAGGGGTGCACCTCCCTACATCCAGGCAATACATTCATACACATAAAAAAATAAACAAAATATATATTTTTTAAAGGCAAACAAGATAGCTCAGCGGTTAAAGGCACTTTTACTGCCAAGACATCAGACCTAAATTTGGTCCCTGGGCCCCATATAGTAGGAGAGAAACAACTCTTAAAAGTTTTCCTTTTGCCTCCACATGTATGTCATGGCACATGCATACACACACAAATAAATGTGCTAAAAAATCTTTTTTTGACTGGTCATGGTGGGGGCTGGAGAAACAGCTTAGTAGTTAAGAGCACTTGCTGTTCTTGAAGAGGGCCTGGGTTTGCTTCCCAGCACCTACATGGTAACTAATAACTGTTCATAACTCCAGTTGTTGGGGGAATCTGATGCCCTCTTCTGGCCTCTGTGGGCATTGCATGCACATGATGCATACACATATGTGGGCATGCACCCCTCCCAACATGTGTGTACACACACACACATGCATAATAAAAAAATAGTGGCTGGGTATGGTGGGGCACACCTTTAATCCTAGCATCAGGAAGGCAGAGGCAGGTGGATCTGTGTCAGACTGAGGCCAACCTGATATATATAGCAAGTTCCAGGCCAGCTGGGGTCACAGAGAGACTGTGTCTCAAAAGTAAATAAATAAATAAATAAATAAATAAAGGACCCCAAGGCAAAAAAACAAACAAACAAACAAACCAAACCAACCAACCAACCAAACAAAAGTGGTAACTAGAACCTGAGAAAGGTAGGAGAAATGCAGATAGTGGGAAGTTTGATAACAGGTACCAAAATAGTTTTTGATTCTTTGAGACAGTCTCTGTAGTCTAGGCTGGTCTCAAACTCAATATGTAGCCCAGGCTGGTCTAGAACTCATGGCAACCCTCCTGCTCCAGTCTCCAAAGTTCTGGGATTGTAGGAATGAGCCACTATCCCCAGCTCCAAAATACAGGTAGATAGAAGAATAACTAATCTCTAGTGTTCTACAGCACAGTAGGGTAACCATAATTATAATTTATTATATATCTCATAAAGAACTAGAAGAGAGTTAGGTATAATGGTGCATACCTGTAATTCCAGCACTTAGGAAATAGAAACTAGAAGATCAAGAGTTTAAGGTTGCCAAAAAAAAATTCAAGAAAAGAGGGGGGACTGGAAAGATGTCTTAATGGTTAAAAGCACTGGCTATGCTTCCAGAGGACCTGGGTCTGGTTTCCAGCACCCACATTGCGGGTAACAACCATCCATAACTCCAGTTCCAAGGACTCTGGTGCCCTCTTTTGGCCTCTGTGGGCACTGCACGACACAGGTGCACTTACCTACATGCAGACAATACACGCATACACATAAAATAAAAATAAATAAAATATTTTTTAAAAAAGGATTTAAGGTTGGAAAGCATGGTGCTGCGCCATTCGGGAGGCAAAGGCAGGCAGATCTCTGGGAGTTAAGGCCAGCCTGGTCTACATAGTGAATTCCAGGCTAGCCAGGGTTACATAGTGAGACCCTGCCACAAGAAAACCCCAAAACTGGGGCTGGAGAGATGGCTCAGCAGTTAAGAACACTGGTTGTTCTTGCAGAAGACCCAGGTTGAACCCCAGGACCCACATGGCAGCTAACGACTGTCCATAACTCCAGTTCCAGGGGATCATACAACCTCTTCTGTCCTCTGCGGGCATTGCAGGACACGGGTGCACTTACCTACATGCAGGCAGTACACACATACACATAAAATAAAAATAATAAATAAAATATTTTTAAATAAAGAAAACCCCAGCCAGGCATGGTGGCACATGCCTTTAATCCCAGCACTTGGGAGGCAGAGGCAGGTGGATCTTTGTGAGTTCGAAGCCAGCCTGGTCTACATAGTGCAGTCCAGGACAGCTGGGGCTACAAGGAGACCCTGTCTCAAAAAGGCAAAAACAAACAAACAAACAAAAAAACCCCCCAAACTAAAACCACCACTACCAACCAAAGTCAAACCAACCAACCAACCAACCAACCAACCAACCAACCAACCAACCAATCAGTACTGAACAAGTGATCTGTAAGACCCGATTATTCAATAGCCATGTCCCTTCAGTATGCTGCTTCACACTAAATCAGTTTCCTCAGCTGATAAGAGTCACAGTGACTATCTCACAGGCCAAATATGAAGATTCAACCAGATGAGATGATACACAGAAAGCATGTAGCCCAGTACCCAGCAAAAATCCACTTTCAATGGATACAGCCATTGTTATTACCTACTCCAGTGGACCCTCATAGAGATTGAATGAAAAATGTGTTTTTAGGAAATCTAGTCCTATGCTTGGCAATCAAGTAGGGTCCTATTAACGCCAGTGATTATGACCCTTACTAAAGGGGAACCCCTGGTGGAGACAACAGGAAAAGAAGGCATCAGGAAACTATGAGAGAAGAGAGACTAGAACGGGGGAAAAACAAGGAGGCTAGAGTCAGGGTCAGCAGGCAGAGGAGGCTGGAGGGATTGGGACTGGGTGGGGTAGTGCACGCAATCAAAGCAGATTTCGGAGGGGAATGGGTGAGGCTTGTCTCTCACCTGGTAGAGACCACAATGAGCCGGTGTTTCAGGTATTTCCTCCGTTCTTCAAGGTTGACTGTGGAGACAGGCAGGAGGTAGGGGAGGTTGATGTACTAAACACATAGCACAGAATTCTCCCAGTGCATAATATGGTCCTGACACATGTACCCCCCTAGTGTGCACTGTGAACAAATCTCTTAGCAGCTCTTGGTATGTGTGAAAGGGAGGAAGCTGAATTTTTTTTTTTTCGTCTTTTTGAGACAAGGTCTCCCTATAGCTCCAGCTGGCCTGGAACTCACTATGTAGACCAGGCTGGCCTCGAACTCACAGAGATCTGCCTGCTTCTGCCTCTGGAGTGCTGGGATTAAAGGCCTGTGCCACCACGGCCGGCTGGGAAGCTGAATTTATCAACATCTGAGAATCCCTGCAATCTAGGAAGGATGCATGCCAGTGATTCCCACCTTTTTCTTGGTAGTAGAAGCCAAAAGCCTCATCCCGAGGGATTCGGGGGTAGAGGAAACGTAGCGGGTTCTCGGGGATGTTCTCTTCAGCAAGAACCTGGTAGTGGCGGATGATTTCAGTCAGGGGAAGAGACTGCAGTACCTCCTTGGTGTAGGGCTGCACGGAGTAGATGAGCACCTTATCTGTAGAACAGATACAGAACAAGTGGGCTAAAGAAGAGGTTAGCCCTGGAGCTCCCCTCGCTGGGTGCCCAAGCTTAAAGCTGCTGGGGAATCCAGGACAGGCAGGGGGTCAGAAGACAGGGAGGTCTGGCAGAAAGCACAGGCTGCAAGGAATGGCATGGGAGAGCAGCTGACCATCCTCCTGGTGCTCCACCCAGGAGCAGGTAATGCCCCCTTCAGAAGTTTCACTGAAGCGCAACAGAAAGGTGCCAGAGACGGTCTTCTTCAGCAGTCGACGCTCCTGGGTCCGGCTCACAAAGCCCATGATGCGACTGGAGCAGAGAAAGCCATTGTGAGATCCCAGGGCCTCTGTCCCCTTTGTATCTAAATGAGCCCTGGGTTTTGGTCCCATTTCTGTCATTTACCCACTTTTCCATCTTGGCAAGTCACACAACTTTAATGGACTATCCCTACCTCTACCCCCAGGGTTTGAAGAGGTGTAAGGACTGAGTGAGGACACACAGATGAAAAGTACCTTATAAAAGCCAGGGAAAGGACTCTGTCTCAAAAAGATAGTAAGAAAAAAAAAAAGCCAGGGGAAGGATCACAAGATGGTTCTTCAGGCAAGGTACCTGCTTCCAAACTTGATTGATTGAGTTCAATCCCCAGTATCCACATGGTAGAAGGCAAGAACCCACTCCAATAAGCTGTCCTCTGACCTCCACATACATTATGGTACAATGGCATGTGGGCCACACCCCGAATTCCCATATGCACACAAAATAAATATATTTAAAAAATAATAAAGTCCAGAGGATGTGCAAATCTGCAGGCAGTGTGGCAAGCACAGGATGGCTTGGGCATCACACAGGCCTGGGTTTGAATGCTGACTCTGTTCCTTGGGTAAGTTCCTAGTTTCTTTATGACTTGGTTTCCTCACATGAACTGAAGGTGGCAGCACCCACATCCCAATGTGGATCTAAGGACTACAAGAAAGAATTCATGAAAGCACCAAGCAGGCTCTGGAACACAGCAGACACTAGACAAATTTCAGCCGCAATTATTGCTAATGGGATCTTGTATCAGTTTTGGTCTCTTCCTGTGTGCTACAAGGTTGTGTAAAAGTCCACTCCTGAGCCCAGGAAAAAACAGCAACCAAACAGGCCAGGAAGGCTGACCAAGGCCTTACCCATCATTCCAGAGATCCTTCAGGTGGTCATGTACCAGCTCCAGGATTTTGTCCAACCATGTCCAGAATGGAATCTTGCCAGGGGGGCTTTCTCGCTGAAGGAGGGACAGAAAGACAGAAAGGGATGTGGAGTTGTCTCTAGTGTGGGGAAGGGACCCAGGCAGCACTAGTATTTGGACTGGGGACCAGAGACAGCTACACAGGCTTCAGGGATCTACCTTACTAAAGTCCGACCAGGACAACAATGCATCCTCCATCTTGCAGTTCTTTCCTGTGGGACAATCACAGATGGCTCAGATGACTGAAGGTCAGACAGAGGTCCTGGGATAGGACATCAGGCAGGGGCAGACTAAGGATAGGGAAAGGCTAAGAGAAAAGAAAGGACTGTACCAAACAGCTTGTTCCTCAGCATGCCCAGCTGCTCTGAATTGAGGCCTCGGCCAATAGAGGAGGAGAACTGCCAGCTGAGAACAGGCCCCAGCAAGCTCCAAGGGGCCTTGGGAGGTTTGCAGAAGAACTGCCGGTTCTGCACAGGCATAGGAAGGGTAAGATGTTTTAAAAGCAGCTCTTGGCACCAAGCCTCCACACACCCTCTTCTCTACCCTTCACCTGTCGGTCTCACCTCCTACCTGGGGGGTTGGGCTGAGCATATTGAACCAGAGAACTGAGGCCCAGGCAATGGAGAGTTGACTCATGTTAGAAATAATCACCACAGGAAGAGTGTCCGTCTGGGAAGAAGACAGAATCACAGTGGTGGGATGGGATGTCGCTAGCTAGAGACAACTGGACAGGGGATCATGGCACTCCAAGAGACTTCAGTTTATCCCCTCCTTATGCCTTCTTGAAAATCTGCTTCATCTTTCCCTGCGTCTCTTCACTCACTTGCAGCTCCATCTTCAGACCCTGGTATGTGTACTGGACTGTGAAGCTGATGATGTGTAACTCCTCTGTCACAGCCAGCGGCCCCTGTGGAGACACAGAGATCAGAGGGCCCTTTGACAAATCCCTGGCCTTATCCACTGCTTTGGCAAGTTCCCAGCCTTACCTTATTGGTACCCTTTCCTGTACCAACTGAACGTTGCTCCAACAGCGTCTGTGAAGTGAGGGAACAGAGAATGTCAGGGTGGAAACCCCAGGTCCCTGGAAGCCCTGTTTTGCCTCAAGACCTGGAAACTTCCTCCAACTACTGTACCTTTGGACTAGAAGCCAATTTTACTGATCCTTCTTACCAAGAAGCCAAAGTCCCAAATTAAGCCTTGTCTCTGCCCCTTCTCAGGGGTCAAGGTTTTTTGGTTGGAGGTCAGAATGTTGAATTTCCGGAAGCTGTTTTGGGGGGAAGAGATATGGAAACAAAGAGGAGTCAAGTCTTCCTTCCTTCCTCCCTCCCTCCCTCCTTCCTTCCTTCCCTCTCTCCCTCCTTCCCTTCCCTTCCCCCTCCCCTCCCTCCTTCCCTTCCTCCCTCCCTCCCTCTCATTCTTTCCTTTCTTCTATTTTTTTGACAGGGTCTCGCTATAGTAGCCTAGGGCTGGCCTTGAGTTTTCAGTGATCCTCCTGCCCCAGCTTCCCTAGTGTTGAAATTATAGGACTGTGTCTCTACCCCATGCTCAGAGTTTAAAATATCAGTACGAAAGGGCCAGTGAGATGGCTCAACAGGTAAAGGCACCTGCCAGTAAGTCTGACAACTTGAGTTTGATCCCCAGGACCCACATGGTTGAAGGAGAGCATAGACTCCCACTAGTTGTCCTCTGACCTACACATGTACTCTTCTCTCTCTCTGTCTCTCTGTCTCTCTCTCTCTCTCACACACACACAAATGTGAAAAACGCCGGGTGTGGTGGCGCACACCCTTTAATCCCAGCACTCAGGAGGCAGAGGCAGGCAGATCTCTGAGTTCAAGGCCAGCCTGATCTACATAGTGAGTTCCAGGACAGCTGGGGCTACAGGGAGACCCTGTCTCAAAAAGACCAAAAAAAAAAAAAGGGAAAAACAAATTTAGCAGGGAAACAAAAATCCCACTTCATTTCCTTTTGTTCATGGACCATCTAAGTCCCCTTCTTCCTTGTCCACGCCCCCACCAGGGGTGCCAAATTTAGTTGTACAGGTTATGAGCTCTGTACAAATGTTTATGGATGTCCTCATCAGGTACATACCCTTGTAACTGAGAATTCCTGAAAAGAAAGAAAGAAAGAAAAAATCATGGGAGGTAAAAGTAATTAGGAATTTACTCTTTGTGGTCAGACAGACCGTGATTCAAATCAATCTCTAGAACTTACTAGCTATGTGGCCTGGCAGAAGAGACACAGTATCTTTGAGCCCAGACCTTATTTGTCTGCTGCACTGGTTAATACCTAACTCATGGAGTTGTTAGTACAATTAAACATGCTGAATGGCACCTAGTATGTGTTCAACAAGAAAGAGGCATTATTGGGGCTGGAGAGATGGCTTAGTGGTTAAGAGCACTGACTGCTCTTGCAGAGGACCGGAGTTTGATTTCCAGCACCCACATGGCGGCTATGAACAGTCCTTAACTCCAGTTCCGGGGAATCTGAAACCCTCTTCTGACCTCTGAGGTATTGCATGACACGGGTGCACTCACATACATGCAGACAATACACTCATACACATAAAATAAAAATAAAAAATAAAATATTTTAAAAAAAATAAAGCGGCATTATTACTTCTGTAAAGTAGCACGACATGTAAAGAAGGCAGTCCAAGGGCTCTGCTGTAGAGTGAGCACCTCCACCACACCACCAGCCCATGTCCCACTGGCCACCTTAGTCACCTCCTTCACCTGCCTCCACATACCTGTCGATGAAGACTTCTGCTGTGAGTGACACATTGCCTTCCTGGAGTCGTACTAGCAGCCTGGGGGAGAAGAGGATGCAATGTATATAAGATGGTCAATCTCAAACTCCTGACAAGGCCAGATGTTCAGAAAAATATGGGGTATAAGAAGTAGGTGAATTGAGAGGAAAGAAGGAAATCTCAAGAACAAGAGGGTCTATCTGTAAAGTCAGAAAATTCACAATGGCAGGGTTGGAAAAATGATGCAGGAGTCTGGAAATGCTAACCTTGTTCGAACAGTGAACTTGCTTCCAGTTTTCAGGATAAGGGGGCGACCGACAGTTTGGGGCATGCAGGGCTGAGTTTCCACCACAAAGGCTCTAGGGGAAGATATATGAACAGAACGTATAACTCAGCATCTCTCTGTTTCTTCCCTGTTTTTCTCCCCACAGAGTCTTCTCCAGACCTTTGGAGTAGACGTTGTAGCAACTCTGTGACTTGGGCATTTTGCAGATCCACTCCTTTTTCAAAAGTGTCACCCTCATACTGAACCATGTGACCCATTTCCTTTAGCTGTTTTAGCAGCTGCCGTAGGTGAAACAACAGTTTTGCTCCAGCCGTGAACCTGGGTGACAGAATTCAGGGAGGGAGAAAAAAAAAAGAACCCAGAGCCAGGTATTACATCCCAGCACTCATGAGGCTGAAGCAGGATTGTGAGTTTGAAGCCAGCCTAGGCTATAACATGACTCTGTCTCAAAAAACAAAAACAAGGGGTTAGAGATGTAGCTCAGTTGGTAGAGTATACACAAAGCCCGAGGTTTAATCCCCAGCACTGCATAAACCAGACATGGGGGGCATGCACCTGGAAGGAGCACTGGGAAGGGGAGGCAAGAGGATCAGAAGCTCATCTTCAGTGAGTTCAAGGCCAGCCTGGAATACAGGAGACCCTGTCACAAACAAAATGAATAAACAGATTCTGGGAAGTGTAAAGTACATTATTTAACATGATTCTTAATCCAAAAGATGAAATTCAAAGCTATTTTTTTTTTTTGTCTTTTTGAGACAGAGTCTCCCTGTAGCCACTGCTGGCCTGGAATCACTGTGGAGACCAGCCTAGCTTTCAACTCACGGAGATCCACCTGCCTCTGCCTCCCAAGTGCTGGGACTAAAAGCGTGCACCACCACGCCTTGTCAAAGTTATTTTCATATAAAAATGGATAAAAGGTTTATTAACGTAATGCCATTTAACTTTATTTTGTGTAGTGTGTGCAAGTACCCATGTATGTAGAGACAAGAACTGAGTGTCTTCCTCTATTGCTTTCCACCTTTTTTTTTGAGGCAGGGTCTCTCTCTGAACTGAGCTCACCATTTTGCCTGGATTGACTGGCCAGCAAGTTCTGGGTATCTGCCTACTTCTGCCCACCTGGTGCTGGGAATTTGAACTCAGCTCTTCATGCTTACATAAAGCAAGCACTTACTCACAGGGCCATCTCCCCAGCCTGATGGTTCACTTTAATATAGAGCCTCTGCATGATAATACTTCATACATTTTTAATGTATTTCATCCTGACCTCACACAATAAGGTAGATATTATTATCATTAAATACCCTTTTATACATGATAACCTGAAGCACAGAAAGTGACCTGCTCAAGATCCTACAACCAATTAGAGATGAAGTTTTTATGTGATTCCAGTTAAGCCTGGCAACAGAACCCATAACCCATGATTTTGGAACCATTGGAACCGTCTTGTTTTATTGAGACAGGGTCTCATTATGTAGCCCTGGGTGACCTGGAACTCAGTATGTCAAACTCACAGAGATCTGCCTGCCTCTGTTACCCAAGTATGCCCATTTTATGCTTTTTTTTTTTTTTTTTGGTCTTTTTGAGGCAGGGTCTCCCTGTAGCCCCAGCTGACCTGGAACTCACTATGGAGACCAGGCTGGGCTCAAAGTTACAGAGATCTGCCTGCCTCTGCCTCCCAAGTACTGGGATTAAAGGTGTGTACCACCAGGCCCAGCTTCAAACTCATTACTTTTCATTAATTCACCAAGGTAAAGACTGGGCTCTGGTCTCCCTGAGTTGTGAGGGTAAAAGGCAGAATACATCACTTGCTGCAGTTTTTCCTTCCTTCCTTCCCCTGCTTCTGTCCTTTCCCTTCCCCTCCCATCCTTCCTTGTTCTGTGCTGGTGATCAAACCCAGGACCTTGTACACGCAAGAGAAGCACTCTACCATTGAGCTCCCCACAGCCCCCAGCGCTGTACTTGCTGTTATAACCTACAGGGCATCACAAGGAGTGGCTAGGCCTAGGGCTAGAGTGTAATAAAGGGATGGGAAAAACTAGCTTTTTCTCTCACCACTCTTCCAGCTGATGTAGGTTGAGGTCAGGTCGTGGGGCTCCAATACAGGATTTCTGCTGCTGCCCTTTCCACTCATCCAACTTTGGCAGCAGCAGGTCAATCAAGGTGGTTAATCGGCCTACTAGTGCTTTGGAGGTATCTAGCACCTCCTAGGAAAGAGATAACGTGAGTATGAAGTACCCCTCAACATCCTTCCTCATCCAGCTGATGAAGAGGAGAAAGAGAAGTCAAGGCTAAGAGGCCAGAGCCTCCAAGCCCTCTGTCTTCTAGTTCTCTGTTGCCCATTCCCTCTGTGCTCTGCTTTTCACCTTTCTCATTTTGTCCAGGTCATTGGCAGTTTTCTGCACAAGCTGCAGCTGTTGGCTCTGATGTGGGTCCGAAGAGGATGTCTTCTCTGAAAGGCAGAAGCAGGCATCACACCAGTGGAAAATTCCCTTTTGCTGGCCAGCATCTCAGTCAAGGATGGGAAATGTAGGAGCGGGAAGAAGGGGAACCAGGCAAAGCACAGGCACCTGGGGGCCCTCAGGTAAATTCTGTATGGACCAGAAGCCTACTCAACCTAAGGTGGTTTTCCATGCATCTCCTCCATCATTCACTAGCTACCCCTCAGCTACATCTCCAGTCCACCCTCTACAACACACCCTGGCACTTTTGCCTTGCATAGCAATAGGACTACAGTCACTGACACAAATAGCCATAGGTGACTGCTGCTCATGGAGCTTTCCACTTGAGCTGTCCTCCAGGCTAGGCCTCCCAGTAGGCCCCCATCTTTCTCCCACCCGTCTCTGTGATCCTACTTTGAATCGTGTATCTGAAGCTGAAGACATCCTGCAGATCTTTTAGTTGCCTGATAGACTTCACCAACATCTGCAGAGGAGACCCCAATAAGGCTGGTTCTGAGGGTACAGAAAAGCTAAAGCCTCCCCACCCCACACATCCACCAACCTCCACCATAGTCTGTAAATCCAGGATCCGGGATTCAATCTCAAACTGTTGGCTCTCCACCCTTGTTTCAACAGTTGGCCTGTCTTGCTCCTGAAATAAGAGGCTTTGAACGCATTTGAACTCTGACTTTTCATCCTTAAATCTAGACTGAAATTATACCATGGAATGTGGGGATATCCTGTTTTGAGACAAAATCCCTAAGTCTTTTGTATAGTCCTTTTCTATTCCAGGAGCTTCCAACATTACCACCAAATTGTTCTTACCACTTGAGCCCTTTGGGCCTGATTCAGAATTCTTTTTTCTTCCAGAAGAAGATTAAAGATCATCTCAGCCAACTGGGTAGGACCACAGGGAAAGGTCTAAATAAGAAATGCAGAAGGATGGATCTCATTTAATCACCATCAGTGACCAGTATTTCCCCTCCTTTCAGAGTCTCCAGTCCTTTTCCAACAGCATCATCTAGACAGTTCTTTTCTCCACCAGAGATCCGATGCCTGAAGTCCAGACTCTCTCCTTCTTTTGCAGGTGTACTTTCCTATCTTTGCATCTCCAAGGGCTGTTCCGTACCCTGATCCTTAATCTACACTCAGTGGCTGGTCCCACCCAGTCACTCCCAACTTCTCCAACTACCTGAATGTCCCGGCTGAATTTTCGCAAGTTATGCTGTAGTAAAAAATAATCAGGATCTGGGCTGTAGTGGTCACACTGGTTCAGTTGGTCCAAGATGTGGAAGTATAGCAGATTGGCCTTGGAATTATCATTGCCTAGCACAGCTTCCCTCCTGAGGACCAGGAATGACACTGATTAGGATCTCTGTAAAGCAGCTGCTGTCCTAAGGTCCAGGATGTCCTTAGGATCTGGGGGGGGGGGTCTCAGGAGAAACCTCCTGAACTTCTGAAGCTCTCACCAGTTCTGGTCTTCAATCCAAGCAGCCAAGTGCTGACGGACGTCCATTGGCAGGATGCTTTGTGAGTATAGCTGGTGCAGCTGGTCCAGAAATGGGTTGTCAAGATTCTTCAGCATCTCCCACTGTGCCATTTTGGGCTCTGAGTGGAAAAGGATGTCAGTTCTCAATTGGATATTTTGCTGGACTAAATCATCCATAGACTCATGATGATTCATGTATTTATTTAAAAACCCTATTATTTTATGATAAAACCCTATTGCTGAAGACACCACATGAGTGTGGGAGAGGAAGAAATAAAGCTTGGACTAAGCTGGAAACTCCCTGCCACTGGATGGGTAGCTTTCATAGTGCCAGAAAGTGCTATGCAGATGGCTGGGAGAGAATTGTCCCCTATAATTCTGCTCAAAAATGGACCCTGAGTACTGAACTATCAACATCCCAATCAAGATGTTCTTGCTGGTGCAATAGTGGCATATCTAGTGTATGTACAATCAGCAAATTTTCGATTGGATATAATGCCTGATCCTAGGGGTGGAACACACATCTGGTACTGTAGACCAGGCCAACCCCCTGTGGCAGGGGAGGATATAGGCCACCAGTGGGGAAGCCACTGCAACTGTTTTGTTAGATGGATGGATGCACCTGCTAAAGTACCATCCAAGCATTTGTCTTTATATCCATAGGTTATTATAGCACTGTTTAGGTGCTCTTGTTATTGTTGTTTGTGTGTTTATAGTAGATGGAATCCCACTGAAATGGGTCAACAGCCTATGGAAAACAGATGATGCAGAGACCGGAAAGTTCAGTGCCTTGCCACAATGGGAGGAAGATCATCCCACACTTATCACCCCCTCCAGGGCTCAGGGACTTTTGTGGAAGAGGTTGGCAGAAAGAATGTAAAAGCTGAAGGGGTGAAGTGTTACCTGGAAGTGTCCTCTGACCACTATGCTAGCAAGCTATAGTCACATCTCCTTCCCAAGCTCATCAAGTAGTTGAGGGGGAGTCAGTTACCCCTCCCACCCAATCGGTTGACCTTAGCTGCATGAGGGGGAGGGGATAAGGATATATAAGCCAAGAACACCATGAGGCACCTCTCTCACCATTTTGTGTGGCTGTCACAGGATCTATGTTTGGGTGTGGACTTTCCAGCACAGCCATAAATGGCGGGGGGCACTCTTATGTAAGTAAACCCCTACCCTATGCTCTGTTAGCAAGCCCAATAAATTCATTACGTTTTTTTTTTTGGTGTTGAGACAGGGTCTCCCTGTAGCCCCAGCTGGCCTGGAACTCGCTATGTAAACCAGGCTGGCCTCGACTCACAGAGATCTGCCTGCCTCTGTCTCCCAAGTGCTGGGACTACAGGTGTGCGCCACCATGCCCAGCAATTCCTTAGGATTAAAAAAAAAAAAAGAAAACTAGTGCATCCCTCAACTCTTACCAGTGAAGCCTCCTTATACAACAGAGTGTGATATACACAAAAGGCCACAACTGGCCAAATTTTAAAGAATAAGAGACTGCAGAGTGTGTGTCCCTGGATAGGACACTCTATCCACAGTTCAGGGACCATTTCGGAAGAGGGGGCAAAAAGACTGTAACAGGCAGGGTTGGTTGTACATAGAGAAGCAGAGCCTTTCAAGCCATTGGAAGCTTGCACATATGAACTTATAGCAATGGTGGTATTGAGCACAGGACCCATGCCAGCTCAATCAGACAAAGGCTCAGAGTGGAGAAAGGGAAATGGGTGGCAGGTAGGGAATTATTGGATATTGATCACTACCATCTGAGAGAGAACATGCCATACCAATGATCTCTAGATAGGCTGACTAGACTCTAGTGGATGAATTTGCACTGAAGGACATCTGGGTACAAATGCTTAACTGGATAGGACTCAACATGTAGAGCAGAATAAAGGTCTGGTGGGGGGGTGGGGGGAATGGATAGGGGAGGGAGGGTCTAAATGTGATTAAGAACTGTTGTATGAAATGTACAAAAGCTCAATAAATTTTTTTTTAAAGAAAAAGAAAAACAAAAACAGGATCTCAATCTGGGGACTTGAAATCACAGCAATCCTGTCTCAGCCGGATGATAGGTACAAGCCTCTAAATCTGGCTATGTGATTATTGTTCTAATTTAAAAGTCTATAACCCTATTCTCAATATTGGTCCCTGTCCTTTCTCTCTAAAAGTAACTACTATTATAGTTTGCTGCAGTTTTTTCAGGGAACATTATTTAATAGTTCCAATATGTGGGATTTTTTGTTTTAGTGGTAACTTTCAAACACACAAAAGTAAAATGAAGAGCTGGGCATGGTGGCACATGCCTCTATCCCAGCACTTGGCAGGTGGAGGCAGGAAGATCAAGAGTTCCAAGGCAGGCCCAAGCTAAATGGTGAATTTAAGATAAACCTGGGCTATATAAGAGCCTATGTCAAAAAAAGAAAAAAGAAAAGTTCTTTCTAAAAAATTTTTATTTTATTTTAGTTATGTTAATGAGTATTTTGCATGCATATAAATGTATCCATGCATGTAATGCCCATGGAGGCCAGAAGAGGGTGTCAGATCCATTGGAACTGTGGTTATAGACTGTTGTTAGCTACCATGTGGGTGCTGGGAATGGAACCTAGGTCCTCTGCAAGAGTACCCAGTGCTCTTAATCACTAAGCCATCTCTCCAGCCTAAAAGAAAGAAGCAGAATACAGTATAAGGATGTTCGTGTACCTGTTATTCAACTTAACAAATAGTATTTTCATTGTCTTATCTAGTTCCTTTAATTTATTTACTTTAATTTTTCATGCATTTGTAGTTGTTTATGCTGGAGCAATGCATAAGTGATAAAGATCAGTCAGGCATGGTGATGCACACCTTTAATCCCAGCACTTAGAGGCAGAGACAGGAGCGTCTGTCTCTGTAAGTCTACTCCAGCCTTGTCTACCTAGGGAGTTCCAGGCTAGCTGGGGCTACAAGGAGACCCTGTCTCAAAACAAAACCACCCAAAAAACAACTAAAAAATAAACAATAAAGATCAACGTTGGCCTTGAATATTTATGACTCTTGCTGACCCTGAAGCTTTTTCAGGGACCGAAACATTGTAGGTGAGGGGAGTTCACCTACAAACTGCCCACCTACCAGGAAAGAGGAGCTCCACTGTAGATGTCTAAGTATCGTGCAAAAGGACATTTGGTCTCTAAAACTGCATTTTTATGACCTCTGTCACCCTCAGACTCTTCATGTGAATTATCAAATTTGTGAAGACCCAGAAATTTCACACAAAACTATTTTCATTTCCCTGTCCCCTGCCATCTCGTATCTATTATGAAATTAAAATTTACTTTTATTGCAGCTTGAGTCTAAACAAACAGGAGAAACAAACAGATTTGTGTTCTTTTCTACTACAGAGAAAAAAAATGTTTGGGGTGCATGAGGTTACCTTTCTCTGAAAGTAGGAAAGAAGAGGGAAGGGAATGGATTGGGCAAGAGCACTGACTGCTCTTCCAGAGGCCTCAGGTTTGGTTCCCAACACCCACATGGCAGCTAACAACAGCTTAATTCTAGATCCAGGGACTCCAACACCTTCTTCTGGCCTCTGAGGGTTTGCCTGCATGTGATGCACTTACATACATGCAGGCAAAACACTCATACACATAAATAAAAATAAATGCATAAATAAAAAATACATGCATTATTGATTTGTGTGTTTGTGTGTGTGTGTGTGCCTGTGGAGGCCAGAGAGGGCATCAGATCCCCTGGAGATGAAGTTACAGGTGGTGTAAGCAGCCCAATGTATGTGCTGGGATCTAAACTCCAGTCTTCTGCACTAGCAGCAAGTCCTCTTAATGACTGGGTCATCTTTCCTGCCCTAAGAGCTAAGTTTTCATTTTAGCCCCTTTAGTCCTTGATGGAGATCAAACATGAGGTCTCATTTATGCTAGTGGTTGAACTAACATGACCAGTGCCATGCTTGACTTTTAAAAACTATATACTGGGGCTGGAGAGATGGTTCAGCAGTTAAGAACACTGACTGTTCTTGCAGAAGACCCAGGTTCGAATCCCAGAACACACATGGAGGCTAACAACTATCCCTAACTCCACTTTCAGGGGATCTGACAGTCTCTTCTGTCCTCTGCATGACACAGGTATACTTACATGCAGGCATAACTCTCATACACATAAAATAAAAATAAATTAACCCCCCCCCAAAACAACCAAAAAAAAAAAACTATATATCTGACTGGGCGTGGCGTGCATGCCTTTAATCCCAGCACTTGTGAGGCAGAGGCAGGTGAATCTCTGTGAGTTCAAGGCCAGCCTGGTCTACTACATAGAAAGTTCAGGCCAGCTGGGGCTACAGAGAGACTCTGTCTCTAAAAGGCCAAAAATTAAAAAACAAAGAACAAAAAACAAACATGGGCTGGAGAGATGGCTCAGCAGTTAAAAACACTGGTTGTTCTTGCAGAAGACAGGGGTTCAAATCCCACCACCCACATGGCAGCTAACAACTGTCTGTAACTCTAGTCCCAGAGGATCTGACAGCCTCTTCTAACCTCCACCGGTTTGGCTTTGCACAACATGGGTGCACTTACTTACATGCAGGCAATACACACATACACATAAAATAAAAAATAATAATAAAAAAAAATAAAAAAAAACTATTAACCTGTATTGCTGTTAAGAAACAAACGAACAAAAAAAATAGCACCAGGTGTGGTCATGTACACCTTTAGTCCCAGCATTCAGGAGGTAGAGGCAGGTGGATCTCTGTGAGTTTAAGGCCAGCCTGGTCTACACAGTGAGTTCAGGCCAGCTGGGGCTACAAGGAGACCCCCATCTCACAAAAAAAAAGAGAAAGAAAGAAAAATAGGGGCTGGAGAAATGACTCAGTGGCTAAGAGCACTTCCTTTTCTTGAAGAGGACCTGGGTTGTGTTCCCAGCACCCACATAGCAACTCACAACTGTTTGGTTCCAGGGGACCCAACACCCTCTTCTGGCCTCCATAGACACTACAATGCACATGGTGCACTTATATACATGCAGGCAAAACACTCTTACACATAATAATAAAAGTATAAAATTATTTTTTGTCTTTTTTTTTTTGAGACAGGGTCTCCTTGTAGCCCCAGCTGTCCTGGAACTCACTATGTAGACCAGGCTGGCCTCGAACTCACAAAGATCTGCCTGCCTCTTACTCCCAAGAGCTGGGATTAAAGGCGTGCGCCGCCACGCCCGGCTAAAATATTTTTTAAAAAGAAGCAAAAAGTACTTTTTAAAAAAAATTTTGGTCTTTTTGAGACAGGGTCTCCCTGTAGCCCCAGCTGTCCTGGAACTCACTATGTATACCAGGCTGGCCTTGAACTCACAGAGATCCGCCTGCTTCTGACTACCAAGTGCTGGGATTAAATGGTGTGCCACCACTCCCGGCCACATTTTTAAGAGTCTAAGATCTCAGTTTTTCTGGAATTAAATGGCAAGGGAACAAGTAAATTCTAAGATTTAAATATGAAACAAAACAAAAAGTAGTCTTCCCAAGCGGACTGCACACTGAGCGAGGTTAAAGGCTGCATGCAATACAGTATTTTCTCACGTTATCTCTCACTCTCTTAGGCTCCAATTTTGCACCCAAGCAGCTTTTCTGAAGTAAACTAGATTCTGTGTAACCTTAAGCAAACAGTGTCACCTTCCAGGACTTTATTTATATATAACAAATAAGAATGTATATCGGGTCTGTCCTTGGATTTTTTTTTTTTTTTTTAAGGATCAAAGATCATGCAGAGCAGAGGTTAGAGCTTTGACTTAAGACAAGGAACAAATGCCCACGATGCAGGTTCCAGCTTTCCGGGGCTGCAGGGGAGGTGACAGCGTCAGCGAGCTAGGCCAGGCTGAGTGTAGCATCTCGGACCCAGCCGAGCTCCAATTTAACCAGATAGAAGCTGCGTGGTCCAGGCATAACCCCGGGCAGGCGCCCTCCTCGGGGAAGAACTCGCGCATCCGCCCCTGCTCCGCATCCTCTAGGGCTGTACCTGCTCCAGCCGCTCCCTCCAGGGGCTCCAGCAACTTCCAGTCCTCAAAGCTCCGGAAGCGTCTTTTCCCACCTGGCCCCGACTCTGCCGGGATACGGCGCAGCAGGTCACAGCGGCCGGCCTGGAGCTGGTTCCTGGCTCGCCCCGGGCCCCGCCTCCACCTCACCCAGCCTCGTCCGTCCGGGGTGGCGCGCTCATTGGCGCAGGCACGATCCCGCCCTCCACTGGGCAGGAAGAGCTGCTCCTAAGCCACACCTTCAACGGTGGTGATTGGTGGAAACGCTCATGTTCGCGCTCTTCCCGCCCCCTTGCGGGGCGGAGCCCAAGTAAAGCAGCTCTACACGAGAACAGCTGACTTTCCAGAATCTGCACTTGGGGCGAAGAAACGAAACCAGATTGAGGTGGAGGCGCTAAGCACTCCATAGAAGGGGTGGGACCAGAATTTCGACAGTTTGGGATAGGAAGAGAAGAGCTGAGAATAATAATAAAACAATTTTAAATAATAATAATAATATAATAATAAAACAATAATAAAATAATAATAAAACAATTTATTATTGCGGATATAGTGATAAATACCGTGGGCTCATGGTATCACTTCTTAATTTCTATAATCACCCATTCAGGTGAAAATAGACTATTCCTACTTTAGAAATTTAAAAACGAGTTTTGAGAGAAAAATAGCCATAACAATACCCCAAATTCGTCCACCCATCCTCCTCTTCTACCCTCCCTGCTATCGGTAGCTTGGGCTGCATTGGATGTAATCTAGGCTGACCTCAAATTAGTGGCAAACTTCCTACTTTAGACTCTGGAGTGCTGGGATTACAGGTGTGAGCCACTACACCCACCTAAACCCTTAATCTCAAATTCCTCCATTTTATAGCCCTTCTTTCCTCCTGGACAACAAATCAGAGATTTGGATATGGATATGCGGCCCTCAGAAGTTTGAGCACACCAGATACAGCATGTGAGAATATTCCATTTATTTGTTCTGCAGTTAGTACCTCTGGTATCCCAAGACTCCTAGCTCCAAGATCTCAACCATAGCTCTTAAATAAGGTCCACCCCCAATAGGAAGCTGGACTTACAAATTCTGACACTGAAGGGGTTGGGGTTGTTTCTTCCAAGTCACTCCCATCTGAGATGCCCCACAAGCCATCTTTCCTGGCCTCTGGCTGAGAGATGTTCACCTCTTTTTCATCATAATAATATTGGATCAGCTGCTGAACCCCACCCTTCAGTGCTGGTTTAAGGGCAGCACTGATCACTACACCAGCAGGGCCCCCTGATAGACCTGCCATGGTCATCAGAAGGTCATAACCCAGATCTATGGCCCCATCTCGTCCTCGATCCTTGGCCTTATCAGTGCAGTTCTGAATGGCATAATACAAAGCTGTGGCCAGGTTGTAGTAGGCTCCCACTGCTGGCAGCAGCCGGACCACGTTGTGCACACTCTGTTCCTGATCATTCTCACAGTCCACCGTGGAGATGGAGCGTTGGACCCTCTTTGGACCTAGCTGCTCCCTGGCTAACAACTGCAGAGCAGAGATTAGGGCTTCTGTTGACACTTGCCAGTCTGTGCTCTCCACTTTCTGGAGCTCTTGAAGATGGTGAACGAGGGCCTGTGTGGCCTTCACACCTCCCAAGCGGTAGAGCTGAAGCTGCAGGGCCTGGACATCAGCCTGGCAGCCAGCTTCCTCCAGGGCATTCCTCAGAGCCAGGCCTACCAGGAACTTGGGGAGAGGGGATATGTGACTGAAGCCAGGTAGGGACTTTGGGAGCAGGGTCTGGCAGGACAAGGGGTTTGAGGAGGGCAGTTGGGATCCTAAGTCAGGCGGAAAGTGCATTGTAGAGACAGTTGTCCCCTCTCTATATGAAACAGCATCCACAGAGTGCAGCAGGAGATAACAAAGCAGCAACTCAAATGGCATCAGGATGAGTCGGAGGTGGTGTATATCTGGAGCAGAGTGCACTGGAAAGGGGAGAATCCCAAAATGTATAAACCATTTCTTTGAGAGCTATACTCTGAAAGGAACCTGACTCAGGGGTCCCCTCATCTATTACCTACCTCCAAGCTTTTGATCTTTTTAGTTAAGGGCTAAGAGGTGGGAAATGCAACTCAGTTGTTCCCACTTGGTCTGTCTCATTTTCAGGTCACAGGAACCTTCCTGTTTTGTACCCACCCATTTCTAGAGGCCCCAAATTACCACATAGTCCAGTCATTGAGAAGTGAGACTGCTTTCGTAGGTTTGGTGGCTCCTCGATCCTCCTGTTCTGCCCAGTTCTGTGTTCTGTGAGGAGAGGAGATGTTTGCTTTTCCCTATGATCAGTAAGGGACGTAATTTCTGCAAATATTTACCCATTTGTACTGGCTCTCAAAGCCTGTCCGTTGTCCACACGTTCATCCTGAAGACCTAAGACCTGTTCTTTGAATTTTCTCCATGTCCCTGCCACGTTCTCACTCTAAGTTCCTGATAGGAACCCGGAAAATTCAGAATCAAGAGAAACTGAGGGAATTGGGCACAGGAGAGGGCAGAAACTGAATTTAAAAAATGACACATATGTATGAAAATACCACAGTGATACCTATGGCTTTGTGTGCTAACTTAATAAAAATTATTTTAATTTATTTTGTCTTTTTTGAGACAGGGTCTCCCTGTAGCCCCAGCTGTCCTGGAACTCACTATGTAGACCAAGCTGGCCTTGAACTCACAGAGATCCGCCTGCCTCTGCCTCCCGAGTGCTGGGATTAAAGGTGTGCACCACCACACCCGACTTATTTTAATTTTTTTATGTGTATATGTATATGTCACATGTGTGCAGATCCCTGCAACAAAGGCCTGCAAAGGATGTCAGATTCCCTGGAGTTGGGGTTACAGGTGGTTGTGAACCACCTAACATGGGTACTGGGAACTGAACTTGAGTCCTCTGGAAGAGCAGTACACACTCTTAAATGCTGAACCATCTCTTCAGCCAATAAAAAAATTTTAGGGGGCCTTTTTTGAGACAGGGTCTCCCTGCAACTCCAGCTGGCCTGGAACTCACTATGTAGACCAGGCTGCCTCCCAAGTGCTGGGGCTACAGGAGTGCACCACCACACCTGGCTAATAATTTTTTTTTAAAGGAAAAAACGAGATTATGAGGGCTGGAGAGATGGCTCAGAGGTTAAGAGCACTGACTGCTCTTGCAGAGGACCTGAGTTCAATTCCCAGCACTCACATGGCGGCTAACAACTGTCTGTAACTCTAGTTCCAGGGATCTGACACCTTCTTCTGGCCTCTGTGGGCATTGCACAACATGGGTGCACTTACACACATGCAGGCAATATACTAATACACATAAAAAATAATAAAAAATATTAAAAAATGAAATTAGGCCAGGCATGGTGATACATCTCTTTAATCCCAGCACTCAGGAGGCAGAGACAGGCGGATCCCTCTGAGTTCAAGGCCAGCCTGGTCTACATAGTGAGTTCCAGGACAGCTGGGGCTACAGGGAGACCCTGTCTCAAAAAGACCAAAGGG